CTTTTTTATTGAAATATAGTTGATATACAATATTATGTAAGTTACATATGTACAATACAGTAAATCACAATTTTTAAAGATTATACTCCATCTATAGTTATTATAAAATATTGGCTAATTCCCTGTGTTGCAAAATACATACTTGTAGCTTATTTTACACATAAAACTTTGTACCTCTTAGTCCCCTACCTCTATGTTGTCCCTCCCCACTTCTCTCTCCCCACTGGTAACCACTGGTTTCTCTTTATCTGTGATTTTTGCTTCTTTTTTTATTATATTCACTAGTTTGCTGTATTTTTTAGATTCCATATACAAGCGACATACAGTATTTGTCTTTCTCTGAGTGATTTATTTCACTTAGAACAATACCCTCTCAGACCATCCACATTGTTGCAAATGGAAGCTGTTATTCTTTTTTATAGCTGAGTAGTATTCCATTGTATACATGCATACTATATCTTCTTTATCCATTCATCTGTTGATAAACACTTAGGTTGCTTTCTTATCTTCACAATTGTAAATAATGCTACTATGAACATTGGGATGCATATATCTTTTCTAATTTGTGTTTCTGTTTTTTTTCAGATATATACTCAGGGGTTGAATTGCTGGGTCATATGGTAGTTCTATTTTTAGTTTCTTGAGGAATCACCATATCATTTTCCACAGTTGCTGCACCAATTTATATTACCATCAACAGTGTACAAGAGTCCCCTTTTTTCCACATCCTCACCAACATGTTATTTGTAAACTTTTTGATGATAGACATTCTGACAGCTGTGAGGTGATAACTCATTGTGGTTTTAATTTGCATTTCTCTGATGATTGGCAATGCTGAGCATCTTTTCAAGTGCCTGTTGGCCACCTACATTTCCTCTTTGGAAAAATGTCTATTCAGGTCTTCTGCCCATTTTTTGATTGGGTTGTTTGGGGTTTTTCTGATGTTGAGTTGTATGAGCTGTTTATATATTTTGGATATTAACCCCTTGTCAGTCATATCATTAGCAAATATTTTCTCCCATTCAGTAGGTTGTCTTTTCATTTTGTTGATGGTTTCCTGTGCTGTGCAAAAGCTTTTAAGTTTAATTGGATCCCATTTGGGTTTTTTTTGCTTTTATTTCCTTTGCTTTAGGAGACAGATCCCCCAAAATATTGTTACAATCTATGTCAAAGAGTGTTCTATGTTTTCCTCTAGGAGATTTATGGTTTCTGGTCTTACATTTAGGTCTTTAATCCATTTTGAATTTATGAGGGAGACATTGGCGAAATAGGGAGACTTAATTTAGATAATTAACAGGAAAACAGTAGCCACCATAGCAAAGACGAATGGTTATCAGAGAGAGATGGTTTAAGATGAAAAATTAAAGCTTATGAGTAGACCGCTGAGGAACCAAAATTTATTTTCGTACCAGGAAAAATGTTTTAAAAATAATACTGCCCAACAATTGAATGGGCAACCTTTTGAGGAAATATTTAATCAGATGCTGATGAGGATGGAAAAGATACAGTCTAGAGGAAACTGTTTCATGAGGTGGAAATTTTTAGCTACATAGGCCCTAAATGCTGTCCCAACTCGGGTGTCCTTTTGTCTGGGCATATGTTTGGAAATAAACGTGTGTTGCATTCATAACACATTCTGTCATCTCTATTCCCAATGCCCTCTCTGAAAAATCATGTATTTAATAATTCAGTAAGAGACTAAATTGTTTGCAAGTTGGAATTTGAAATGTATATCTCCATAAAGGTCACAGGAATTGTTACAATCACCCAAATGAGTCAGCCCCTGCCTGGGTGTAGATCAACTTCTCTGCAATTTTCCCAACATTTTGTGCCATGGAAACACCTCCAGCCACAGGAGATTCTGCCTGCTCCTCCCAGTACAGTACCAAGTACCGAGCCCACCTTGCCTCACACCCCATTCACTGGGGTGTTATTGTAAAATGTGTATGGTTTATTTCAATACATATTTCAACATTTATATCCTATTTATGAGACTGACGCGCTACCTACTGCGCTAACGAGGCACCTCATTTATATCCTATTTAAATAACACCTAAGGGAACAGAAGTATAACCACTACATAAAATATAACCGCTTAATGCAGATAAGTTGAGGCACAACTCTAACTATTACCCTGTCCACACAGTGCAGAGGCTGGACGTAAGTGACCTTTGGGAAAGCACTGGGACAGTGTCTCAGTGCTAAAGCAAGAGATAAGCCAGAGCCTCCCTGAGCACAAGAGCTCTTCAGTGAGTCCCCATCAGAGAACAATACTCTGCAAAGAACATGATGAAACACTGATAGATTTCATTTCGTCCTACAAACCAAGTCCACTGACACCGTTCAGAATGATGAATCTTGCTTTGTTCGGTTTGCATAGTATATCTGACCAGGACGTGAGACTGAAACTAGGATACATCTGTCCTACAGAAATGATTCTCAAACTTTTTGGTCTCAGAATCTCTTTACATTCAAATTTAGTGAAGACCCTGTGCTTTGTTTGGGTGGATTATATCTACTTATACTTACTGCATTAGAAACTAAAATGGAGCCATCTGTAAAATATTTGGTAAAATGTTTATTTCCTCATTCATTAAAAATAACAACAATATCAAGTACTTGTTGACATAAATAATGTATTTTTAATGAAAGACAACTGTTATTTTCCAAAACAAAAAAAAGTGAAAAGAATGACATTGTTTTATATTTTGTGAATCTGTTTAGTGTCTTAATAAAAGACAGCTAGATGATTGTGTCAGTTTCTATGTTCATCTGTTGTGACAGAACATAGTTTCTGGAAAATGGCACTGTATACCCATGAGAGAATGGGTGAAAAAGGCAAAAACACTGTGGTATTAATATGAAAAGAGGCTCAACCTTGTGGGCCCCAAAGTTTTGGGGCCTCCCATGGTTCCCCAGACTACATTTTCATAAAACTGCCCTAGGATTAAGCCTTCAGTAGCACCCAAATGGCAATATTTGGTTATGACCATGAATCTGTTCACAGGGGTCTGGGTGATCTAAGAAAGTAACAGGTCAAGAATAAATGGTGAATTAGGGTATGAAAGACCAAGAACATGCTGAAAGTCCTAACACACTGAAGGAGAGTCTAGACAGTAAAATACAGAAGGAAAAGCTGGTAAAGAAAAGAGAGAGCAAACAAGATTATGAACTCCGATCTGAAGAGCAGAAACTGTCTCCCCTCTGCCATATCTCTACACACTCATCTCTGTCTGGGCTATTTCTGGTCTATAGAAAACTCAGAGCATCGTAAGTACATTCAGTCATTCGTGGTAACAGCAGCAGCCAAGTTATCTCTAAGAAATTAAGTACGTTTAGTGTTTATAAATAGAAATACCAAATCTGTAGTAAGATTATCAATAGTACCTGTGAAAATAATGGTTGCAAACTTTGGGAGTTATGTTTTTAACATCTATAATTCTATTCTTGTTTTCTATGATAGCAAAAGTAACGTAGTATTTCTAATTATCTCAGTTCCAGGAGTCAAAGTATATACATGATCTCCAATGGCAGCATTTTCCATATCTGTAGTTACAGCTAGGCTCTCTTTAGAAGCAACAATAGTTTCAGGACGTAGAATGGCAAATTACCATATTGGTAGTCATGGTATAGGGAAAATCCATAGGAGAATAAAGTGTGACTTTCAGCATTAATAATGAAATAATCTACTATAATATTAATAGCTGCTACCATGGTGGTCATTTGAGTGCCAGCTACTATCAGTGTTCTCATTACGACATTACCTCCTCTAACCAAAGAACAAGTTGGGTTATTTCAATAACTACATCTAATGTGATTTTATCTGGGATAGAAAAATCATCTGTGGAGTCTGTAGCAAAGATATATAAAATATCTATTGTTTAATTGCTGGGGTATAGGAGTTATAATTTTTTAAATAGTATTACCTATTCTGGCTGCAAAAGAAGTATTCACAACTTCTTAAATTACACTTACGCAGTTAGTAATGAATACATCTTTAGATATCTCTGCAATGTCTACAGCATTTGGAGTAGCCATATTAGTAAAAGCTAGTGCTAATATTTGTGAAAACTTCAGTAGCAATAAGCCACATATCGGTTAATTGATTATCTTCTATCTGCAATATTTGTTTTAAAGAGATGTCTGTAGGAATTATGCTGCCTTGAGTAGTAATTCTGGAACTAGAGAAGCATTTATGACATTTGTAGTGTAAGAAGATGCAATAGCAGAAGCATCCGTTGTTGTTCTATCAGGAATGGAGGTATTTAAAACATATAAGGTAATATTTGTAATACTTAAAGCAAACTTTTTTTAATTATAGGGGAAGGTGTACTGCTACTAGGAACAGTAGGACTAGTTGCAAATATAAAAGAACTTGTTAGAAAAGAATTGACTGTGATAGAAGTGTAACATTAGTGTTAGGCAGCAGTAGTATTTGTAGGGGAAGGTGTAGTGGCATTAGGAATAGTAGCATCAGTTGTAAATTCAGTAGCACTTGTCAGGAAAGGCATGGTTGTGACAGGAAGAGACACATTAGTGCTATCAGAAGTAGCATTTGTAGGGGAAGGTGTAGTGGTATTATAAATGGTAGTACCAGTTGTAATTTCAGTGGCACTTGTTGGGGAAGGCATGGTTGTGAAAGGAAGAGTAACATGAGGGCCACTAGTAGTACCATTTGTAGAGGAAACTATAGTGGTATTATAAATGGTAGTACTAGATGTAATTTCAGTGGCATTTGTTGAGAAAGGCACGGTTGTGGCAGGAAGGGTAACATTAGGGCCGCCAGTAGTAGTATTTGTAGAGGAAGGCATAGTGGTATAAATGGTAGCAGCAGCTGTGAATTCAGTGGTACTTGTAGAGAAAGGCACACT